AAAAAAAAAAGATTTTCCTGGGGTGCCTGGCTGGCTCAGTCAGTTGAGTATCCGACTCTTGATTTCAGCCCAGGTCGCAATCCCAGGGGTGTGGGATTGAGCCCCGTGTCGGGCTCCACACTGCGCACGGAGCCTGCTTGACATACTTTCTCTCCCTCTGCCCCCTCCCCCATTTGTGCCCTCACTTTCTTAAAACAAAACAAAACAAAACAAAACAACAGCAACTAGATTTTCCTAATGATTGTTTAAACGGGTTCTAGAAAACTGAAGAGTAAGTGCATGAGATGAGTACAGCAGATGTACACAAAGATTATTCTAGCAAATGTAGGAAATTATAACTGTTACTATTATCTGGAAATCTGTTAGTAAAACAATTGACTAATACTGCCTCCTCAAGTTCCACCTTTTTCAGGGTTGAAAGCTATGAACTAAAGCAAGGTATGAAAAACCAGCCTGGGAACATAAGCTATCTCCTTTACCCTGAGAACTAATACTTATTTATTTACTTATTGAGATTTATTTTCCATTCATTTCTTTTTACAGTGGCTGGCAGAGGTTTTATTTTATTATTTTGATAAAAAGGGAATCTAAAGTTTAATTTGATGACAGATGCCACGGCTTGCAAAGGCAGAGTTTACTCAAGAATTCAGTGATCCTAATAGCATCGGTGGGAGCAGTAATGGTGAACATCAACTGAACATGTGCTGTAAGCCAAGTTCTGTGCAGTGCACTTACTACCATTCACTCGTTCCATTCTCACAACAGACCCAAAACTTCATGCTATTATTACTATGATTATATCAATTTACATAGGAGGAAACTGAGGCAAGAGGGGTTAAGTAATGGCCCATATCCCCATGGAACTGTCCATTTGGGAATTTCCTACTAGAGGTCTTTGCGTACAGCTACAACTAAATGGAAGGTCTGAAGAGCCTTTAAATTTCCCTCTCTTCTCTACACTACTTTTTCCTCTGGTGTTGATGGATAGCTTCCCTGTTCTTACTCTGCCCATATCCCTCTTAAAAAAAAAAAAAAAAAGTAAAACCTTTAACTACTTACATTTGGGCATGCATTCATGCCCATATTTTTACTCTTTCAGACATTTTCATTATTAAACCCATCTCTGTGAGACTAAAGGCTTTGTCTCTCCTTCAGGAATCTCTGGCCAAAGCACCCAGTGAAGAACAACTGTCTGGCTCTTGACATCACCATGGTCTATGTCAAGCACAGCCTGGTCTCCCTGGGGGGCAACAGGTCCTTCCTGACTAGACAGGCCAAGGGCTATGGCTTTATAAATGACTGCTGGTGGCTGCCTTGAGTGGTGGGTGGCTGGGGGGCGGGGGCAGCACATTCCTGGCAAGTCAGCTCATTCTTGGAAGATAGCACTTTGGAACTACAACCCCAGCCCACCTGCCAGCTAGCCGTGTGACCCTAGGAAGGAGCCCTGTGCGGGAGAAAGGCACCACAAATGGCGCCTTTTCTCTGTTTGGTTACGGTTTGTCAGTCACAGTGTACCCCTACTTGGAGCTTTTGATGAGGATAGGGGGCTCAGGGCTCTCCAGATCAATTGTTCAGAGCCGAGCCTTGCTCCTCAACATCAGTACCCAGCCCCACGCGTCTGTCCCCCTCTGTGGGCCGCATGCACCCGCATTCAAATGCTAACCACGGCGGTGGGACTCAGTGACCCAGAAGTAAAAGCAGCAGAGTGCCCCATAATACCCAAAGTCATCTGACTCCAGTCATTTCTGACCCTCCCTCGGTTAAATGCGCTTGTGCGTCACGCGCGGGCAAAGGCCTCCGAAACCACAGAAGGGATGGCCTCTCTGAGCTGACCGCCACCAAGTTTTGCAAAAGAAATCACCTTTCCTCTACGTTGGCACGACAAGGAAAGTCCTTAAGTTGGGCTTACACTATGCAAAACTCTTTTCCCAGCGTGGGGCTGGCGGCCCTGGGGGAGGGGCGCGCCAACAGCTCTCTTTCACTGGCGGCCGTGCCTCGTCCAGCTTTTCATCAGGCCGCGAACGTTCGCACTGAACTGAAAGCAGGCATCAAAGGAGCAGACCTCCTCGCCCCCCTCCCAAATTCCGCGGCCTTTGTTGTCCCTGGAGCTGGGCGGTTATTGAACTCTGCAGACCCGCTGGGCCCGGAAAGTGAAAACACCCTCCGGAGCCAGCAGGGGTGGTGCTGTGTGCCTGGGAGATCGGGCCTGCGCACCGGAGGGCCGGGCGGTTGCCATGGCGCCCTGACACCGAGATCATTCCTTATGAATGTCACCAGGGTCTGTGACTAAAGTTGTTTATGAGTCAAAAGTCTCCCGAAACTACAGCAGGAAGTGATGGCCGAGGCCGGGCAGGCTGTGGGAAAGGAGGCTGGAGCATCCCGGAGCGGACGGGCTCCCCCGTCCTCGGTTTGCTATGGAAGACAGCCCTCAAATGCAACATGGAGCGCGCCACACGGCGCAGGGCCACATTTCATTCGTCACCGCGCGTGACACCGCGAGGGAGAAGCCGTCTTTTAAATCACAGGCCGTCCCGCTGTAGTCTTAAAAATACGACAGTCCTGCGCTTTGTGGTTCAGCAAGCAGCGCGGAGCTGGGCTCCTCCAGGCCCCAGGAAATGTTGCCTTCTGACCATTTGCCTGATTCCTTTTCCTTTGTTCCTCCAGGGTGCAGGGTTTCTACCGTTCAAAAGGAGGACAGGGGAGAGTATGGCGCTCCAAGGGGACGCTCTGGGAAAAGTTACTCCATGTACACGCTGCTTAAATTAAACCTTACACTTGAAATTCAGATCTGTTGTAAAAAGTTAGAACACGATCCTTAAATGCATGTCACTAAATATAAAAGCCTTCTTTCTCCAAAAGGATTTCCTATTATATTCTTTTATATCTCTGGCTCCCTGTGTTCATTAAAAATAGTATTCTATTAATAAATAGGACCTACAGGAAGCTTCTCAGGACTTCCCACATGGCCTATGCTGAGATACCTTTATCCTCCACACCCCCTCTCCCTCCCAAGGTCGTTCTTTCCCCTGATTTCAGAGGCAGCCAAGAAAGAGCTTCTTACCTCTGACACGGTGCAGTTTAGCTGGAAGATCTGCCCTTCTCCTTCCACCTGTCGCACGCAGAGTTTGCAAACCAGTTCCACTGTGTTCAGGCTGAATCTTTCCAAGGTGAAAGTGCAGTGGAGGTTTCTTTGAGACCCACTCCATATATGATAAAAAGGAATTTCCTAAAGGGTATACAAACGTTAACCGCCAGTGAGGGGCTAATACCAAAAGCGACTCTCAGACACTGCACGGCCAAGTCCTTTTCTCAGGATTACAAGTGACCTGATTTCACCCTCACAACAGGCTTAGGGGTAGGGACACTCCAACCCGCTTTTCAGATGAAAACACTGAGGCCCAGAGATGTTAAATCTGCCACCCTCCAATCCCACAGCTAGTAAGTGGCAGAGTTGAGATATGAACCCAGGGGGTCAGCCTCCAGAATCCATTTACCTAACCAGTCTGCACTTCTCTGTCGTTTACAAAAGAAGCCATTGTAAGTGATTTTTCAAAAGTTTAGCAATTCCCAAAATAAAACCTACACACTCCAGTCATTGCTCATTAAAAGGAATCCCTGCCGTGGTATTCTGGAGAAAAGCAAAGAAAGTCTAAAGGGTAAAGCACTGATCTAGTTCACTTTCATGCCTATATGCCCCCTCTGCACAGGACAGGGGGGAAAGTCAGAACTCACTGGAAGTGGGAAACTGTGGGCTGCCGATTAGCTGCCACAGAAAATCCTTGGCCTAAAAAGTGGCAAGCCTCTAACAGACATAAATTTTCTAAAATTCTAGACCACCTTAAAGAGCCCATCCTAGAATCTTGTTCCCATAAAGGAAAGAAAAGGTTGATATGTTTAAAAAAAAAAAAAAAAAAAAGGTGGGGTGAAGTGGGGTGGGGGGAGAACAATGGTGGTTAAGAACTAAGGCTCTGGAGCCAAATTCAGTACAAATGCGAACACTCTCCCCTTGCCTATTTGGTGACGTGGGGTAAGATAATCTTTCCGTGCCTCAGTTTCCTTATCTGTGAAAAGGTAAGCGAAAGAGTAGCCTAATCATAGACCTACTGGGGTTGAATGAGATAAACCAAAGTGCAGGAGTGTCTGGAAGATGTTACAAATTCAGCCAGTTCAAGGCTTAGCTTGAACTAATAGCAGATTATCATTATAATTAAAATAGTATTTTCCATTATGATTGCACAAAGGATACAGTTCATAAAAGGGAAATATTTCTGGGGTTTTATGGCCGTTGCAAAATAAGAGAGAGAAGAAAGCAAAGGAAGATATTTAGTGAGAAAGTCAAAAGCCTGATCCCTCTACCAAGTGCTGAGTTACACAGAAGGGTCTGGTATGCACCCCTTATGAAAGCCTCAGACTGTTAGCAAGCTAAGAAGTTTGTTTCCCACAGTTTATATTTAAGTACTAGATATATGAGACTAAGAATGAACTAGAAACCTTCCCTTCACTCTTAGTATGTTCACTGACTTGTATCAGTAAGTCGCACCCAGTTTAGCTGCAGTGCTGGGGTGTGGGATTGGATTTGCATGCATGTAGACGCGGATTCACAGATTATCGAAGTGTGCCTGCATCTCCTGGGACTGGGTATGAGGCTAGAGATTGCGTTGCACAGCCTCCTGGGAGCTCGGGCTCAGAGATGCGGGGGTAGGGGGGCAGTGAACAACCCTTGGAGAGGCCTCTGCTCTCCCCATGTATCCATGCAGTGAGATTTTGGACCAGTATTTTTATGCTATTATTTAATAAAATCCTGACCACATTTTATTTTCAGGTGCTATTTCCACTTCCAAATTGGTGTTCCTTCCAAGTTTTCAATGTAAATGTATTTTCCTAGCAAGGCTGAGGCTTAATTTGTGTCACATGTGATAACACGGTTCTTCTGTTTTTCCTTATGAAGGCATTTTTGAGGCTGTTCTGATCAATTCGATGTTAGCATTTATTCTGAAAATGAATTGAAATGATGGACTTGGAAGTCCTTTTTACTAAAAATAAAACAATAACAGTACAATTATTTAAAGGAGAAATAGGAAAAAAAATCTTTCAAATATTCTATAATATTTTTCAAAAATCCTAAACTCTAAACCATTTTAGAGAAACAACTACCGATGCAGGATTAATTTCAAGGAGAGGAATATCTGATTTCTAAATAACTTCAGACCTTTTTCCTTTTTTAAAAATGTTTACTTATGTATTTTTGAGAGATAGAGGGAGAGAGAGAGATCGAGAACGAACCCCAAGCAGGCTCAGCACTGTCAGCACTGAGCCCAATGCGGGCTTGAACTCATGAACCATGAGGTCATGACCTGAACCGAAACCAAGAGTCAGACAACCAACTGAGCCACCTAAGCACCCCTAGACTTCTTTCTTGGAGCTGTCTCCAGTCCTTTGGTTCAGCCTGGGAACCTTACCTGATATTTTGCCAGCAATTTGCTTTTCCAGAGGGAATGGGTGATATCGTGAATTGACAGGCGCAGGTTGTGGGTGCTGCCTTTAAAATGAAGAGCCTTAGGTTCTTCTAGGAGCTGTCCTCCCATCTGTCTCTCAAGCTGCAATACCTCCTACAATGACATGCCCAAAGTCAAAAGCAAATTACTGAATCGTATGCCTTCTGCTGGCCGGCCGTCTCATCAAATGCGTAGTTTCCTCACCGGGCCGCCCCCACACCACAACCAACTGGTACACACTCCCTCTTCTGCAGCCTGGAGACCCTCCAATTGAAGCCCCTGCCAGTTTGTATGTTACTGGATCCACCTGACCATCAACAATCTACATCATATGCTGTGAAGCAAATTCAGTACAGGCTGCATTTCCCAATGGACGAGTGGAAGATTTAATCAAATCCTGGAAAACAACAATCAGAGCCCCAAATGGGAAGAACTCCAAATGAAAGCAAAAAAGAGGTAGGAATATAGATAAACAGTTGAACTAAGTGGATTTTCAATGAACTTTTAGGGCAAAGGGCAACCCCCTAGAAAACAAACCCATGTCTTGGACCTGGTAAAACCAGCCAACAAGTAAAGACCTGGAATTCATTTTGGGCATTTTTTCGATTTTTTATAGTTTCTTTACGTACAGAAATAATAACATTTTTTGCTTAAAATTATCCATCGCACACTTCTTGATCATCAAAAGTATATATACTCATTATATGTCCTATTAGAGGAAAATATACTAATACAAATTAGGAAAGTCTGTCAGCACCGAATATTGAACTAAAGAGTTACTCAAAGTTGAAAAACAATGACCTCATCTTTCAAGAACCGCGGCTGATCAAAAAATTTGCTATGTAACTTTACTTATGCTATAAAGATGTAACATGAAGACAAATTCTAAATCTACTTCCATTCCTCAAACAAGCTAATGGGAGTTAACGAAGCATTTCCAAGTACAGCTGTAATTATCCAAACAGCAGCAAAGCATAAGTTACCAATGAACAAAATATCCCGAGTCTCTGTGGTTGGAACCATCCTGTGTACTTTGCTTCTCTCACGCTTTAAAAGTTTTAGTGACACACATATGTAGGCAATTTGTGATCTTTCTTTCTTCCTTCCTTTCTTTCAGGGTTCAGGAAAATAAGGGATTTTATAAAAATATAAATGCAAACCACTAACTTATTTTTTTGGTGACATTTCAGTTGAAAGCATGGGGTTCAAGAACACAGGAGCTCATTCAGGTCCTTCTACACGCACCTATCAGGCACCTACTGGGGTACCGAGCACAGATGGGTCACAGTGGAAAATTGTGAGGATGGGAACCAGATTGCCCGGAAATACATCCACGTTGCATTTGTTGAATGAATTCTAACCCATGCACATGGAGCCCCATAAGTGCAGAGCTTACCGACATCATTGATTAGCTGTAAATAGCTCATTTCTAGCTGCTTCTTAGTGGTTCTTAGCATCCATCATCTTTGAGCCAGGCCACTATTCTGAACAATGCAAGCTGCTGAAAGGTCCTCTAAGATGTAGGAAATACTAGGATCATGTGGAAAATGGTCTCAGACATGGGTTCCTCTAATTAGTGTTTAATGGAAGAGAAGAGGCAACAGCATGTTGACAGAGAGACGAGCATGGTCCAGCTGCTTCAGAATATTTACATTTAGAGTATTCCACCTTGCTGACTGATGAGTAGCTATTACTTGTGACAGGAGCCTGAGCAGTCGGCCAACTCTCAACCGGTCAAACTTCTACCAGGACATATATGTTGTGCCCTGGCTCTGCTGCACCCATAGCTCGGCAGGCTCCGAGGGTCCCCACTGAGCCACACCAACCTACCCAACCCAGCACTGCACACACGTTCCTCGTGGAACACTTCACCCTCCATTCCTCCACAAGAATCTGGCCATGTGGAAATGAAGACGAATGAGAAAAGTGAGGGTTAATTGCAGTTTCTTCTGCTTCGGCAGCAAGGCATAATGAGCTTATGTTGATCATGTTCGGTGTCTAGTTAGCATAATAGGGAAAGCTGATGTTCCCAGTGAACCTGGCACCTGACAAATTCTAAAGCTAAAATGATGTTTGTTTATAAGCCGTTAGAAGAAAAGAAACATAATTAGAAATCTTTGAGATTACAGTCATGCCAATCAATCAGTTCTAGCTTCTTTCCAGTACACCCTAATTACCTCATCAAGACGTCTAAAGAGCAATCGATAGTAATTATCTGATTACTATAGATCTTCATTATGTCCAAATTATCTCCCTGGGATGTCTAAAAGAAGATACATTGTATTCTGGGAGGAAATTGTACCCAACAATGTATAATCCACACCCCATTCCTACAATCAACATAGATTGCCAGAGGATATGGAGAACATTATCAGTTTTCTTGGCGGGGAGGACCATTGAAAAAAACCTCAACTGCCTATTGGCCATGACCTTGGAGTCAAGAAATCTAATACCATATTTGAATGCAAAGTCTGGGTTGGAGTCAGCCCAAGAATAAGGCTCAGTCCTTGGTTTCTTTGGCCTTGACCTCAAAAGTCATGTTTAGCGTTCTCACTAGTGGGAAAAGACTGGGCTGGCTTGAGCCTTTCCCCCTCCTCCTCCTTCCTCTTCTTCTTTTTTGAGAGAAAGTACCAAGTAAAATGCCATTTTAAAGATAACAGAGCCAAAGAACACATCTCTACATTCTTAAGCTTTCTGATACAAACAAAGCTGCTGACCTCTCTGGGAGGAACCTAACTTTTTTGTCCACTTTGATTACGCATGAACCCTGGTGAAAGATAAACTACCCATCGCAATGTACTCATGCTTAAAGCAGAGGCCTCTCTGACAAGAGACCGCTGGCTCTTCACTGCTACCTCTGGGAGAAATTGGCCCTGGAATAAATGATTCAGTAAGGAATATCCTTACCAACCTTAAATTTAATGTTCCCTGAAACGTAGCAACTGATATCACACTCAGCATGTTTGACTTCAAGGAAACATAACAAAATAAAGGAGAAGACAAGAACCAAAGCACAAATTGAAAATATTAAAATGTGAATTAAAGATATTGTATTCAATAAATAAAACAAGTCTTTGGAAACTAAAATCATCTACAACTACATGAGTCAGAGATGACTTAACACATAGAGCAAATCCCATATACAGCTGACCTTTGAGCAACACAGATTTGAACTTCAGGTGTTCTCTTACCGATTTTTGGGGGGACAAATGATGAACACTACTGTAAATGTATTTTCTCTTATGATTTTCTTAATAACATTTTCTTTTCTCTAGCTCACTTTATTGTAAGAATACAGTATGGAAAGCACATAACATACAAAATATGTGTTAATCGCCATTCATGTTACTTGTAAGGCTTCCAGTCAACAGTAGTTAACTTTTGGGGGAGTCAAAAGTTATATGCAGATTTTCAGTTGCACGGGGGTTGTTGCCCATTGCTCTCATATTGTTCAAGGGTCAACTACATAAATTTTGTATCAGAGGGAGAAGAAGCAAGCCCACTTGATACAATGGTCAGGCTTGTGTTCCTATTGTTAAGGTCTTAAGTGTTATAATTTCAGATGTATGACATAGCAGATCGCAGTTAAAAATATGCTGTAACTTGTATTTCAAAAAGCTTGATTTTCTGCATTCCTGCTGCATGAAATCATTTTGTTATATATATGATACACATAAGTAAGATGACATAAAAATAACAAATGTACAAATCAATAAGATATACCTTTAGAGTTAAATGCTTTCCTCTCCTTAATCTTCCCGAGAGCATTCATTCAACATCAGTCAAACACACATGCCCTGCCGGGAAGCATGTCAGGCTCTGGGGCACACAGATGAGCCAGTCCCCGACCCTGCCTTATACCACTCACGGCGGGGAGACTGCTATGTAATTGTGTAACCCTAATGGCTGTTGCTTAGCTCTAAGACAGCTTCCAGACTGGATCACAGGTTAGGGTATTTGGATCACAGGTTGCCTTTGGATCACAGGTTAGGATATTTCACCCACCTTAAAAGAGAGCAAGAACAAAATATATTTAAGGTCAAAAGATTTAGTTAGACTTAAGAAAAATACAGTGACCTTGGAAAGAAATGCCATACTAGGAATTAGGATCATCTAGGCTCTTTGCTCTCAGAGATCTAAATGTCATCTTCTTTTGCAAAGGTCGTCCCCCACTCTTAGCAGCACCCCACCTCGGGGCCTTATTTTGGCCCTGGGTGACCACCTGTTGCTTTAATGAGCTTGCTCTGCTTCTAAGAGAAGAGGTCACTTTCTGACTTCTTTGTCACTTCTGTCTCCACCCTGCAACTTGAAAAGACTCTCTCAGGAGTCAGTTATTGGCAGAAGTGTCTCTAGCCCATCTCTCTGCAGGAACACACGCAAGACCCCAGTCGTAAAGGCACCAGGAGCAGGCCCCTGTGCGTGTGAGTCCGTGCCCACCGGGATCTGAGCAGTCCTGCAGGATGGCTGCTTCCTCAGCAACGTGGCTGCCCAGCGCAGGCTCTTCAGTGGCCCTGAGTGAGGGCTCTATTGATTCAGGGGGCCCGTGAGGGATCGCTCGAAAGGCAGGGACATGAGATTCCACAGTAGAAACAAGCGGCTTGCACAATAACCAATTAAACCAAGACATTATCCATGCCAAGCTATTAGCCTGGGCCACTTAAGAGCCACAATAAATCTAAGCTGTTTTAAAGGCCTGTGCATACATACAAAGGGAGCACCTCTGGCCTGTACCCAGAGCTCTCCCAGGCTCTTAGCCTGGAGGATCGGCTCTCATTAAGGCCTCACTGGGCAAGGGGAGTGGAAGGAGCCTTACAGCTCCCACACTCTGGTTTTCCTAACCCCAGAATTTTTTGTGCGGCATTATTGCTGGGGTTAGACCACATCTGCCTCCAGGCCACTTGAGTGTCAGTCTCTCAAGGAGCTCACAGGAGAGCCCCCAGGCGACAGAGCTGCTGGCACTGGAGATACTTGAAGCACTTGTTTAAGAATGTGAGAAGTCTCTGCCCGAGGGACTTTTTGCCAGGAACTGTGTGCAGTGCTGGGGCCCTGGCTCTGCTCCCCACACTCTGTGCTCACCCTCCTCTCACTCAGAAACCTGCCTCTTCTCTCCCCAA